TATATTAAATATCATATATTATAAATAAAAATGGAAAATGGGCTTTAAATTTACTCTTCAACTTGTGTAGAATCTATTCTAGTCTAAACATTCACTTATCTGCCACAGCCGTAACCAGTCTAATCAAAAAGCCATAATACTCCTATTTCCAGCTGCCAATCCAGCGTTTATACGTCTATAAATGTATGCGTAAAGGATGCAGCAGGAAGTTTATGTGCTGCTGCTGATGCTCCTGCTGCTCCTGCTCCTGCTGCTGCTGTGGTCAAACGGATGGGAGCAAAGCTCATTGAGTGAAGCGCCTTGGCTTTTGCCATTTGATGGCATAATAAATATTTCGCCTGCCCAGGATAAACAGCGCAGACAATGAAGGCGGGCGACTGGAGCCAACTGTAGGCGGCCCCGCCCACACGAGCGGAAGTTCAATATGTTTGCATAGGCCCAGAGCCCAAAAGGAAAAGACCTAGACAAAAGGACTGCAAAGCGGAAGGTGGAGCGATTTGTGGCACATTTTCCGGGCTTCGCTTTTTATTCATTCCTTATTTTGCTCTCTCTACTTTTGTCAAAGAACTTGAAGACAAGTTGAAATCGGTTTTTTATGCCCAGAGTTTGCTTTCAGTTTGTTTGCGCACACACACACACACACACACACAGAGGATGAGAGAGTTTGCCTTTGTGTTGGCCCGAACTATTGGCATTTGGCATTACTTGGATCTGGTCGAGAGATAGCGATAAGGCCAAAGATCCAACGGCCTCAAAGAATAAACCACTTAATGGCAATCAATTAGCGCAGATTGAGTTGCAACTTAGTCAACTCACGAACGGAACCATCGATAGCCCGACTCCACCTGCTGCTGCCCGGACACGCTTCAATAAGCCATATCATTGCGCACTTTGGGGCGTGTTTATTGTTGCCCCCATGCCACAATGCCACATTGTAAATACAGCTGCCACGTTGCGTAAAAGGTGCAAAAGCTAAATAACAAACTTGTTTGGGTATTGCTTTTTTTATGCTCACCGAACGCCCTTCGCCCCTCGCCCCTTGCCACTGCACTGCCTGCTTCGAGTTTTCAATGACAATGGCCGAGGAAAATGGCTGAGAGAGAAATGTGCAAAAGAAAAGGCGCCCCACGCACACAAGGAAGTTGCCTTTCATTGGGTTTTCTTAAGTTTTTCTTTTAACAAACATTTTTTTGCCTTGTTTATTCTTTTTTTCCTTAAATATTTTTGTGTTGAAAAGTAAATGAAGCCGTATTTGCTGAAGGGCTTAGGTCATAATAAAGATAAATGATAAGCAAGTGATAAGACGTTTTTTTTCACGTTCAGCTGCTTCTTCTTGAATAACAAACAATTTATAGGTAGCTAAAGAGGCGGGCAGCACAGTGGTGCAAAACTGGTAATAAAATATGCCGAGGAAAAAAAAACTTGCGAAATTCGAATTTAATATTTCTCACTTTAAATAGAAATATTAAAGAAAATACAAATATTATCAGAGAAGGCATCCATTTTTAGTAATACGAACTCCTGATGATATACAAAGATTTTTGAAGCATTTCAAAGGAGTATTAATAGGAGATTAAAGGAATACTTCAATTATCTATCTTGTTCTTGCTTTATCTTTCTGAATTGATCCCATTCTTCTCTTTTCTGCCGAAGCTACTACCGCCTATTCTCTCCCATATCATGATAACTATAACGCAAGAATATTTTAAGGTAACTCCTCTCGACAGTCGACTAAAATATGCCCCTCTCACTCCAATTGCCTTACTACATTAAAAGTCTAGACCTATTTTGAAAGCCCGATATTTTAATGTAATATTTTATTGTTCAGCCAAATTGATTTTATTGAACTTTTAATATTTTACATAGCTTGTAAAAATTAGTAAATTCTTTTTTTTTTTTATGAAACTTATAATTGAGGAAAATTATTAGCATATTATTAA